TTTTTCGTCGCGCTGTGATGACGTCACATACGCGCTTTCGTCCACCGCTATTTTGTCGTCCGCGGTTTTGTGGTAGAACCGCTAAAAGACACTAAGTGAATACACTGCGTGTTGCGTGAATCTTCCCCAAGGCTGCTTTTCTCCGTAGGGGCCTGAAATGAGGTGGTGGTGCAAATGGGTCTTGGCCCCCCCCCCCCACATTTCAAGGACCGAAATTCCTTGAGGAAATTAAAACTTTTTTTAAAAAAATATTTTTTATGAAACATATTTAAACGTTAAAATCAAAACCCAAATTTCCACTCATTATGGGGAAAGGGATCTTTAAGCTTGCAAGGCAGATGGATCTGGAATCCGGAAAAGCTCCCGGCCTCCCTTGTAATGATGGTTTAGGAAACCCCCACAACGCCCCATTTCCCAAAAGAACAGCAACTTCCCAAAGGGGCTGGATTTTCTTGGGTTATTTTTTCTTTGAAAATATTTCGCTTCTTCACCCAAGAAGCTTCTTCAGTTCTGACTGGATGATGGGGAACGGAAGGACATCTGCCCCTTAGTACTTTGAAGGCTCTCCGAGAGTCGTTGATCTCTCCTGTTTACAGGCCTTTGAGCAGCCTTTAGAAGGTGCCACACCTGCTCTGAATCAGGTGAGCCTCAGGGCACAGGTAAGCCCTGGCCCCGAGGACTCTCAGATGGCCCACCTTCAGCCCTCCGAGGGTTAGCAACCAGACCACTGCAAAGAACATAAACCCTTCCATTCCCCTCCAGTCAGAGCTGAAGAAACCTCTGGGATGAGAAGCGAAACGTTTTCAAGGGAAAACCCAAGAAACTCCAGTTGCCCTTTTGGGAAAAAGAAAACACCCCTGGGACGTTGTCACTTCCTAACAATTAGGCTTTCTTTGTGTATCCTACGAACTTCTGAGATGCTGGATGGGGTTTGCGCTAAGCGCACAGCACGTGAAGGAAGCTGGCTGGGTCCCTTTGATCTCACCTGTGCAGACATGATTCGGCAGGTCTGGGCCCTCGTGCCTCTCGCTTCCTTCTTCCAATAAAGGGTTTGGGGGCATCTCCCCTTCTCCTTGCAGGAGGCTACTTCATCTACCAAGAGGCCAGCAACCTGATCCCCTACGACCTCAACCGACTGGAGAGTCCGCAGCTGCTGAGCTCTGGGGAAATCTGCATCGACTTCCGCTATCACATGTTTGGCTCCGAGGACTTCAACCAGCTGCACGTCACCCTCCTGGAGGACCAGGACGAGACTACGGTGTGGAGCCAAATGGGGAGCCAGAGCCCCGCGTGGCAGCATGGACTCACCTCAGTCTACTTTGAGAGGGAGACTAGCTTCCAGGTAACAGCACGGCAGCTCTTCAGAAGAGGTTGGGCCAAAGGGCCCCCTGCCTCTCCTGCCTCTCCTTCCCAAGTGAGATGAAGCCCCTCCCAGCAATCGAGGGCAGTGCCCCCCCCCTCATTTCTAGCAGCTGGCACTCCAAGCCTGGCACCTCTGGCAGCTGATACAATCTAGGAGCTGCTGACAAGCCGTGGGCAGCAGCTGCCCAAAAGCCAACACAGTTCTAGGCTGCACAACAGAGGGACAGAATCAAGATCCCGTGAAGGGTTAATGCCACTTTATAAGGCCTTGGTAGGGCCACACTTGGAATATTTGCATCCAGTTTTGTTGCCACGATGTGAAAAGGATGTAGAGACTCTAGAAAGAGTGCAGAGAAGAGCAAGGAAGAGGATTAGGGGACTGGAGGCTAATCAGTTGCCAAGGTTGAGAAACATTGGTCTAGAGTCTCCTGTCTTGGCCAGTGGGATAGACTAGAAGAGCTCCAAGGCCCCTCCTAGTCCCCTAGAACTTTTTCTAAAGCCCCCCAGGTTGAGGACGCTGTCTGAAAATTCCTCAAAAGTCTATTCAGCATTATTGAGTGACACCCAGATTGTGGTATTTTAAAGTGGTTGGCATTGATGGAATTCTTCACTTTCCCTGCAAAGCAAGAGAAAATACAAAAGAAAGAAAGCATATTTTATATATCAACCAAAATTAATGATCTGGAAAAGAGACATCATAGTAACATTCACATTCATTCATCCATTCATCCATCCATCCATTCATTCATTCATTCATTCATTCATTCATTCATTCATTCATTCATTCATTCATCCATTCATTGTAAGCCACTCAGAGTCATTGACTGAGATGGATGGCAGGAGAAATTGAATGAGGGAAGAAAGGGAGGGAGGGAAGGAAGGAAGAAGGGAGGGAGGGAGGGAGGAAGGGACACCATTCTCTGGGTATGAGCCTAAAGAAACATCTTCAGTTGCTCTGAGGTCCTAACACCTGGCAGATTTTCCCACCTGGAGCTGCGGAGGATGGGAGGGCAGCTGAGCGCGTCCCATGGCAGGAGTCCATGGCTTCGGAGGGTCTCCTTCCTTCGGCCCCTGCAGTGAGACTTCTCCTGTCGCTCCCTTCCTTGCTCTGAATGGGCCTTCTTTCCATCCTCACAGGTGGCTTTTGATGCCATTCGGGGGTTGACGGAATATGGGGACACAGCCGTGGACAATGTGGTGGTCAGGAGGGGACCTTGTGGTGAGTGAACCCTTCTCCACCTCAGCTTTTCCACCCGTGATCTTGGATTGCAACACCAGAGGAGGTGACCTCTCAGCAGAGGTCCCGAGTCCTCAAGTCGCAGCTGTTCCCCAATGGATGCAGGGAGGGAGGGACACCCCCCCCCAAAACGCCCCTCAGCCCTGGAGGAGATGTGAGGGGCCTCCAAAATCCTCAGGGCTCCTGTGGAATCCAGGAAGAAGTATCTGGGGAGCTTCTCTGCCATCCAGGTGATGGTTGAAGCCCAAAGGTGCTTTTCCAAAAGACATCTGGCTTTCTTGGGTTTTTTCTTGGAAAACCTTTCGCTTCTCATCCCAGAAGCTTCTTCAGTTCTAACCTTGTTCTGAAGTAGTTGCAACTCTGTCAGATGATATAATGCCGTTAGAAGCCCCCGCAGGACTCTTCTTCAAAGGCCAAACTAGGTTGAAGGTCTCCTAAGATACTGGCCAGATGACCAGGCAAAGGGCAGCAAATGAAGGACATTTCGTTAGCCAGCATTACAGCGCCACCTACAGACCAGAAGCTTTTTCAGTCTCCAGGCTGAGGGCCAGAAACGGTTTTAAAGACACGGAACAGCCGAGGTGACCCCAAAAGGTGTTTTTTCCAAAAGGCAACTGGACATTCTTGGGGAGTTTTTAAAAAATGTTTCATATAAAGCAAAACATTTCAAAGAAAACATTTCAACCAAAATATTGCAGTAGCCATTAAACTTATATACCACTTCACAGTGCTTCACAGCCCTCTCTAAGTGGTTTCACAGAGTCAGCATCTTGCCCCCAAGAATCTGGGTCCTCATTTTACTGACCTCGGAAGGACAGATGGATGAATCAACCCTGAGCCAGTGACGGTCGAACCGCTGGCAGTGGGCAGAGTTAGCCTGAAGTACTGCATTGGAGGGAAGGAAGAAAGGAAGGAAGGGCAATAGAACTTAGACTTATATACCGCTTCACAATGCTTTACAGCCCTCCCTAAGCGTTTTACAGAGTCAGCCTCTTGCCCATAACAGTCTGGGTCCTCATTTTACCCACCTCGGAAGGATGGAAGGCTGAGTCAACCTTGAGCCCCATCAGGATCGAACTCCAGGCTGTGAGCAGAGTCGGCCTCCAATGCTGCATTTTAACCACTGCGCCACCAGGGCTCTTAAAAAATAAGGAAGTGCCGTTGCCTTTTGGAAAAGCTCAATGGAGGCCAAACAAATCCCCACTGGGGGGACTTTCTGTTGTAACTTCAAGCAGCCGTTGAAGGAATGGATGCCAGTCAAGGACTCTCTGATGGGCAGAACCTCCCCTGAAGCTCCTGCAGACAGGAAGTCACCTGGGGACACCTGAGCCCTTTGCCCTCCTGGCATCGGCCATTATGGGGCTTTTCAAGAGGGGCGAGAGCAGCGCCCCAAGTCGCCCCATGGCTGATGAAAAGCAGGCCTCCCTTGGCAGACACCCCCCCCCCATTGAGCCCAGCACCACTCATGGCCCTTCAGGGCCCCTGAAACACCCTAGACCAGTGTTTCTCAACCTTGGCAACTTGAAGATGTCCGGACTTCAACTCCCAGAATTCCCCAGCCAGCATTCGCATTCGCTGGCTGGGGAATTCTGGGAGTTGAAGTCCGGACATCTTCAAGTGGCCAAGGTTGAGAAACACTGCCCTAGACAACCAGCCACCTCTTCTTCCAGGGAGGCTCCTCTGCGCAGCTGTCCTCGCTTCAGATGACGAGGGCAATTGACAGGTTGAGTCACCAGACCTCACTCTTGCTTAAGTTGTAATCGGCTGTAATCGGTGCGAGTGGCTGGATTTCTGTACCTGGGACAACTGCCTTTGATTGGGGAGTTAAATTTTAACCCCTATAATATCTTCTAGATAAGGCTGGGCAATTTCAGGGAGCAGCTCAAACAAACTCCTGTCAGGCACTTGCTCAACTTTTCCTCCTCCGGCACAGGCAACATTCTGAGTTTTATCAAAGTTCAACAGGTGACACCAATTTCCTGAGTCATCAGGTCGTTTTGGAAAAAAGGGGACACAGTAATAAAAGAGAATATTCACAGCTCATGATGACGCTGCATAATTTGGGCAAGGAAAGATTTACATAAGTGGTTCTCAACCTTCCCAATGCCGCGACCCTTTAATACAGTTCCTCATGTTGTGGTGCCCCCCAACCATAAAATTGGTGGTTCCT